TTGATGGCTCTCTGTTAAGGCATCAGGTTTTTTTTTTTTAATTCTCTTGAGCTAACTAGCCAACTGCTTCTAGGAAAGAATGAATAATTGTTGTGAAAATGTGGGGACATTAGGCATGCTCTAACTTTCAGTGTACAGCCAAGTGGTTATTTGGCTTCTTGCCTTTGGACTGATTTTGCTGCAGTCTTCTGTCAACTTTAATTTTATATTTACCAGGCAGTGAGAGAGTCACAGACCAGTTTGAATAGGTGCAAAAGTTGGACAGAGAACCTTCCATTACAAGTACCAGAATAGCTACAGTACATGCGTCACTACCATAAATACCTACTCCTGAGAGAGAAGAAACCTCACCCCATTTTGTAGGTGAAGACCTGGGACCCAGGACAAATGAATAAAATCCCTGCTATCAGGCAGGAATTTACATAAGGAGTGAGACGTAACCCCCATAGCTGTGGTGGCAATGCAGCATAATTTCCATTGGAGATGGGGTTTATCTGAGACCTCGTATCTGCTTTCATGATACTAGACAAATATCTCCAATAGTGAGCTTCAGTTTTCCAAAATACCTAGTAGCAGCTGTTACAGCTGCTATGGAAAGTCCTGCTTCCCAGCCTGCCAGGGATGGCAGTGTCCTGTCTGGAGCACCCAAAACTCTATCAGCACTCCAAAACTGTGCCCAAGTTCCCTTAAAAAACACCTTTCCCTCTGGTCACAGGTTGCTTTTGTTGCCTAAAGAGAATCTTCCTTCCGTCCTGGTATATTTCCAGTGGGCTTGCTGTAGAAAGATTCAACCGAGTAGTCAATCTTCCCCAGTTTTTTTCTCTGTTAGGCTTTGGATATTCTCATGCTATTTTAGCATGTTTTCAAAATAGATACTGCCTTCAAACTACCTGGCTGCCTCAAGGGTTTCTGCAGATCTTCAAATGTTTAAATGTTTTCCCAAAACATTTGTATTATGTTTACATTCTCTTCTTCCTTCCTATTTTTTTTTCCTAATAATACTGAGTTCAGATACCATTGAATGTCTTATCTGTGGATTTGTGGTACAATATAGCAAGTACTATATTTGAAAGAAAATATTTTCGCTACAGCATGTCATTTATCATTATGTTGTATATATTGCTTCAGCTTGTTTACAGTTTACATTCTTTCATAACACTCTTTTATTATTTGAGGTTTTGAAGATCATGCTATAAAACATTAACCCTCAATTATCCTTGCCACAACCTGAACTAATTCAGCTGATGTTCTCCCTTAATGCTTACTCAGTTTGCACATGGGCAAGATGACTTAAAGTAAAAGATAGGTGCAAAGTAGTAAAGAAAATACTAGGAACCATTAGGAAAAGAATAGGAAATAACCCAGAAAATATCATTATGTCACTAAACATTGGCTTGGTACACCTACCTCTTGACTACTACATCCAGTTCTGGTTACCCCACTTAAAAAAAAGAATGGCCCCATTTGCAAAGACAAAAAAAAGGGCATAATGGTTGATGGAAGTAAAAGACAAATTCCATGAGGAAAAAGCAATAAAAGACTTGGATAAAGGGGAAATATGACAGAGATTTTTTAAAAATCACAAATGACGAAGAGGAAGAAAATAATAAAATGGTAATCCTTAACCCTCAGACTGGAACTAAGATTTTCAGACAGGAGCTTTAAAATGAACTGAAGGAGTCCTCTCTCAAAAAACTCCTATTTAAACTGTTGAACTTATTGCCACAAGGTGACATGGAAGCTGAATTTCTGAGTGCGTTCGTAGTATGGTTTGACAACTCCATGGAGGTTGATGTCAGGTGAAATGAAAACCCCTAACTTTAGGCCTATATTATCTTTCCACTCATTTTTCTAAAAAAATTTATTTCTTATCACTGGTGGGCAAACTAGTTTTAAGCAACTCAAGCCGCCATTTTCTTTACCACTTATGTAGTGACATTATTCCACAGTGTAAAAAAAGACAAACAAAAAAAACAATGAAAAGCTCACCATAAAAACACTCAGGGTGAATGAAAAATGCCACTCTAATTTTGCTAGCATGGTCTTACTATTGTTTTTCTTCCTTTTAAAAAGGGATTCTGAGATCCTTCATTTGCAGTATTTACATAGCTTGTATCATTCCTAACTTTGAAGGTATGCCATGACAAAGACCAAATTTTGCTGTCAGTTCCACCAACTGGAATCCAGGCAAAGTCCATGGGCTTTAGTGCCGCTGTTCCACATTATACTGTGCAGCTGATTCAGCTACAAATATGTGAATTTTTTCTGAACCTAGATCATTGCTTAAGTAATGGAAGGCTCAGAAAAAGGTTGATGTTTTTGCAGCAGTAGCAGCAAAAACCTCATTGATTTTCCTCAATATTGTGAACAAGTCTCCAGAAAAAAAAAAAAACACCCACACAAAAAAACCACAACAAAACCCCTGAAATATAGTTCTATAGTTTCTACAGTTTGAATTAGTTTTGCAATTAGGTGGGAGAAAAATATAACAGAAAGCTTATATTTGCTTGGGGGGTTCTTTCTGTTTTGGCCAAAAGAACAAACTCCACCAGGTATTTGTGACACTTTTTTGATCTGTTTTCACATTCTTCTCACTGAGGAAAGCAGCCACGAAATCTGTCATTCATCATCTGTGCTATGAGTGTATCCGAAGTACGGCTAAGACTAGGTACCTAACATAAGTACCACATGTACAAAGAACAGCAAGAAGTATTTCTTCCCGCAAAGGAACAAGAATATATTTGCTTAAGTACCGTAGAAATCCTTGGTGTTACATTTTGTTCCTTTTTTTTTTTGGGCACTTACATAGCATTATCTACAACCATTTCTGGCTTGATCTGTGCCACCTGAGTAAAAGATATGTCCGTGAATGGACAGAAATATGGGTTTGCAACCAAAGTGTTTACATCTACTTAATGAGCATGAATATGAGAAGAAATCTGACAACAAGATAATTTAGAAATAGTAAAGGAAACATTCACCATACTTTATGTTGATAGTATTATACTCAACACGTTCAGTATTTCAATGACTTCACTTTTTAACCTGAGAATTTATTATTCAGGAACAGTGACCGCTGTAATGCAGAAACTGTGGTAAACATAGAAAGTATTCTAAGTATTTTTTATTTTTCTATTTTTCTCACTTCAATATGGAGGGTCACTCCATAATAAATTCCACAGGTTTCTACTGCTTTAACCATGTTCCTTCACGTAGGGCAAGTTGGTATGCCTTGCTCTGATAAATAAGGTAATCTCTCCTTCCCTTACAGACTTTGAGACGGAGTTTTCTTCATTAAACACAGTTAAATTATGGCACTGTACAACCTTCAGCCACTCGGTGAAACTGAACCTATTTAGGAGTTTGGCAAGGGCTAAGAACGTTCTTGGGGTACAGTGAGACCAGCATCACTGATGCTGTCCTGTTTTTGTCCCTTCCACTCTGGAAGTTACTAGCACAATAACCAGGAAGTTTTGACAATACGATAATTTTTTTGAGAAGCACCACACATGAGGTATGTATTCAGGACAGAAAAGCTGCCCATGCCCTCCAGTGAGCTGCTGTAGCCTTCACATTTCCACAAAGGCTGCCAAGTGTCTCCCCAGATTATACAAATTGTTAACACTGATAACATTTTCCTTCTTGAGTTACCAGTTCTGCTCATAATGTCCCTTCAGTCTATCCCCTGGCTTGCTGCAGACCGCTGCTGCTGTCTCTCTGCATGTTTGTCCGTTGCCTGATTCTCAGCCTCAGTATTGGCAGTTTTATTACAACAGCCACAACATTTGGTATACTTTTGCTAAAAACCTCAGCTGCCAGACTCTAGTGGGTCCATATAATCTCTGCTTTCATTTGTTAGCAAAAGAGCTTTTGTATCCTTCATGGCTGCAGAGAAAACTGCGAAAACACAAAACAAGTGAATCTGAAAAGCTTAGAAACCACAATGCAACTAAAAAGGGACTTAAAAAAAAACACCACCACAAAATCCAAAACAACAAAACACACACACAAAACTAAAAAACATACAAAACAAAGAAAGAAACAGACAAGAACACATGTTGACCCCCAAAAAGCAACCAAACAGAACAAACCCAAACCAACTTATTACTTGTAAGACAGTACCATGGCCATTTTTATTCCAACTCTCCCTCATGGTTTTGATATGCAGTATACTTAGAGCTTTGAGCATGTGCTGAGTACAACTCTCTGTAATTATGCCAAGAAAAAATCAGATCAGAATAAAAATCCCTCCCTCCTTCAGTGCACTGTAAGTTTTCATTTGATGCAATATGAGGGAGTGAGTAACATTGCATAAACATAAACCATCCAGTTTCTAGCTGATCTTACTTTCTAGAAGAGTGGGAGAAAATGACTGTATTATTTGCTATTATTGCCAAATAGCCAGTTGAATTAAAAATAAGTTTTAAACAGCCAGACAAAGACGTCTGAGGATTTAAAAAGCAAGAGAGTACATGCCAAGGGCTATAAGGTCTGGCAACCCTTGCATCCAGAATTAAACAATTTTTGATTAATTTTTTCATCTGTTATTTTCACTTGTGTAAATAGTAATGCTGCTGACATTGAAAGTCCTGATATAACAGTGTGATTTTTCAAGACAAGCCAACTTCAAAAGACTTGCTGGGAGATAATGAAAGGATGCAGCAAACTTACAAGGAGTCAGCCTCCAACTTCATCATTCAAATAAAATAATAATTGGTTCTGGAGATCTCTTTCACTCATGACTCACTGTGCCCAAGTGCTGCACATTTATCCCAGATAGAGAGGTAGTACTGCATAGGGCCCCTTCACAGCTCTGCAGGTCCTGCTCAAGGTAATGAAAGGGCTCCTAGCAGCATCTGGTATCAGTTTCTCCATTGCCGTGGCAAACTGCTGGTGTTATAATCAACTCTCCATGCCATTTGTTTTTTTTCTTCCTTTGTAGTCCTTGGAGAGGTTTCTCTCTCAGATTTTTGATTTACTGTTGGGTTATTTCTTTGTAGTTTTATGGTAATTTCTGACAAATGGCCAAGCGCTTTGAAGTTCATTCTTCAGAAACAGAGAGACCAAAGTTCTGTTGATTCTGGTTCAACCCAAAAGAAGAATGATATGGCAATAAATACAGAGGGATGCAAAATTTCACTGGGAGCTGAGGTCTTATGTATCTGCTGTCTGTCTGTAAACAAGGACACAATGTCAGTTCCAGATATCATCATTTTGTCAGTCAGGTCAAAGGCTTTGGCTCCTGTTTTCTGGTTCAAGAGTTCCCTTCACTTATGTGCGTGAGCCTGTGTGTTTATCTGCAGATGAGGTCTGTGCCAATGTTTTGATAGAAGTTTCTCATAGCTGGGCTGGACCCATGATCAATACATGTCTCTTTCACTCTTTATTTCCTTTGATTTGGTGTTTTAGAGCAAAGGTGCTGCAGACACCACAACAGTACAGTATTCATATAAATGTTGCCAATAAGAGTTTATTCTGAAACCTGGAAGACTGTGTGGGAATGGTGTACTGTATTCACCACATTACCCTCCATTTGACCAGGAAAGGACCATCTTGTACACTTACTTGTAAACCATCTCAGATAGCATCAGTAGCAGCCTTACTCTGAAGTCCTTTTATAGCAATCCATGTTTAGAAGATGTAATTGCTCTTGAACAAAGACCTGGCAATTGTGAAACATCTTCTGCTCAAGAAAGCGCTACCAGGCCCTTTATGTTATATTTGTCTTCCCTCTTCTTGCAATAAGGAAGGAAGGGGGGAAAAAAGGAAATGCCTGTGGAGTCTTTTTCATAATGATACAACTACTGAGCATCTAGAGGAATTGCCACACAGCAGGCTTCAATCAAATAAGAGGTTGTTTTTCAGACAATGCAGACTCAACTACCAGAGACTTAAAATGATAAACATAGAGGACAAATGGTCACTAAACAATCTCCAGTTCAGAAAGCTGCCCTCCACTGAGGCTTGGAGTCTCTAAAATAAAGTTTCCATCAACCATCATGTTAAACCATTCACACTGCAGGAAGCCAAGGGATGCTGCTTCTTCTTGAGCACCATCACTGAACTCTGAAGCAGTTGTTAAAAATGGTTCAGCCTGCCTACCCCCAAACAACTCAGAACACTCCTCAAAGGCTTTCTGCCCCTTGCTGCGTGCCAGCCTGCAAATAAGCAAGAAGCCATTCACCTCCCTTTCAGCAGCTGGAGTACAAGGTACAGAAATATCCTCCCTTTTGGAGCTGGTTCAAGAGGAGGCCCTTCACATGTGGGAATTAATACATTGAAAGGACTGTTATCTTTGCGGGACTTCTTTTTTAATTGAATAATTTAATTTACAGTGTTCCCAGCTGTCTGGAATGCAGTTCTCCTTTGAGTTTGCCTGTAGGAACACTGAGGATTTATGTAGCATTCTCAGCAATAAGAAGGGAATGGCATTGCTTTGATCTTTTTCTTGGTTTTGTGTTTTTTTTTTTATTTTACAGTAGGTGACAATATGCAAGACTGTATATCCCACATTCAGAGAGGCAGTCACTTTTCTTGAGTTTATTTGCACATTGTATCTTCTTCTGTTTCAGTAGATGACAAAAATTGTTTTATTTCTCTTTGTTGTACGATCAATTGACCAATGTAAAATCATGAAATGCCTTTTTAGAGAACAAAAGGTAGCCTGTTTCCCACTGATAAAATAGCTGGTTTAGCACCTGTAAATCTGTTTGCATTTAGTGGAAAACTTTATTCTATGCTGATAACAGGATCAGAAAATGGGCTCTGACAGCATGTTGTGATTTTACAGTATCCAGGGGTAAAACTCCAGCTAATTATGAGCACATGGCTTTCAAGAGCCATACTTTCATATTTAACTCCATAAATCTTGCTAAGTGAAATCCAAACCTATGTCTACAGCATTTGCTAATCATCAGGTTATTAATTGTTTTTGCTTTGCTGGGCGTGTTTGGAGTTTTTTTTTTAAAGTAATGGCTGCAAAACAAAAAAAAAAAAAAAGGAAGTACTTTCTTTCCCCCCTGTAACTTCACAGGAGGTGTTTCTGCTGAACTGCTGAAGCTAAAAAACCTGCTCGCTTCCTAAACAAAAACCTCTGTAGAAGTTTTTCAGTGCTGCAATTCAAATGGTGTCTAGTTTCAGCCTAGAATACCAAGGTCATAATTTTAGGCCATAGATGGCTCTCGCAGATGTCTTTGGTCAAGTTAATCACAGTTTGCCTGAAGGTTGTGCTTTCAGGTAATCCATCAAGGCATAATTGTAAATCAAAACCTTCTTCCAGCTCAATAAGTAGCATATTTTTAGTTTGGGTTAAGACTGACATTGGACAGGAACTTAAACTGGTTAGGAATATTAGGTAATATTACTGGTTACTCTCATTTGCCACAAATACTTTTAGAAAAGCATGTTTTGATAATTGTCAAAAAGTTCCTTGTGGATTTTTTTTTTTTATCCTATTTTAAATTCAGGTAGGAATTAGTTGATGGTGTTTTTAAGATCTCAGCCAGCCTTAATACTCATTGTTTAAGCTACCAACTGTTTTATTCCACTCTAGGCAAAAGTATCATATCTTGGCTTGATACTTCCATCACAGCGTACCTCAGCCACACAGTGTTTTGATTAACAGAGTGTGCAAGATTTGTGGTTATGTATAGAAGGCCAAATCCTGAGGTGGGATAGAAATATATCTCAGAATGGAATGGGGGAGCTGTCACAGGATATCTACCACCCCTGTCCGTGTTCAAGGAGGGTTACAAGACGAAGGGGTGGGGGTGGTGGGAAAAGCTGTGGACACATAGAAAAACAGAGAATCATGAGATGCTAGAAAAGACATCTACCCTAAGCCCTTCCAGTGGATAGTTCTGTGAGAATACACACACTCACCCTCAGTTGTTGCTGCCTTTAGGATCTGCTGTACCTTTGGTCTTCTGATGAGAGCAGACATAACTCTTGGCCTGAAAAGTAAATATTACTTTGCCTGCACCAGAAGTTAGCTTGAATGAGGATTAAAACCAGTAGACATTCAATACAGCAGAGCAGTGCTGCTCCATGTTTTAAGTCAAGAGTCAGGAATATTGAATCTACTCAAAACTGACAGGGGAAAGAGAGAAGGTAAGGAGAGGCAGGGGTTCATGATGCAGACACACATTTTAAGTAGATGGATAGCAATTGCACAGACTGGAATTTGGCCAGATGCAAGAATGCTGAATACAGCAGGATTGTGACATGTGCCATGGCTACCTTAGTGTCCAGCTATGTTGTGACCTTGGTTTTGCTGCCAGAAGGCAGCAGCAGTTTGTGGTGTGCCCTGTTCCCATTTTCAGTAGAGTATCAAGTGTGTTTAATCAATGGTATAACTCTATAGACACATACGTACTTACATTGAGCACCTTTAACAAATTAATGTAAGCAGCATAGAGAAAGCTGCAGCTCCAAGACTTCAGATTCACTTTGAACTATATTTACAGTACGCACTGTCAACAGTTTCCCTGCCAAAGCCATAAGCTATCTCAGCAGAATAGACTAAATACACCTCTCCACAGAAGACATGAGTCTCCCCTTTGGATTTCTCAGCTGTAGCACAGACGGACAAAGACTTAGCCGGTGTAACTCAGCATAGCTCCAGGGCAGCCAGGGCAGTCTCCGATTCATATTAGCTGGCCCCCAGGGAAAAGACCAGAGCTTAGGGTAGAAGACAAAAGGTAAACTTTGTGAAAACATTTCTGAAACCTCTTATGAATTAGGTTTAATAACAACATAGCATCCAAGCTCCCACTGAATGCCAAAACCTTTCTGCTGGAGATTAAAGTGACAGCTTCAAAAAACCAAGCAAGATACAGAAATACAAACTTCAGATAAATGAAATTATTCATTTATAGACTAATTAATGTCATTGTTTGTTTAATCTCCAAATTCCACCACATGCTGCAGGAGTGCAGAGCTTTTATAGATTGGAGCAGTGCAAAACACATTCCATATCCAAGCAAACCTTGCCAAAATCCCTGGCAATGCATCTTTCCTTTTTCTTTCCCCCCTCTCCCCTCTAATCCTTGTTTTGCTCTTGGTATTCATGGTAACAGTAACAGCTGTTGAACGTGGCTTCGGGCTGTCTGACTCCCTTGGGAGAATTTATGTGTTTTTCGACTTCCTTTCCTTATTAGGAGGCAGGAATCTGTGACACCTATTAGAACAAGTATGCATAAAGGGTAATGACTGTGCAATTTATTAGTGGTCTGTTCTCCTTCAAGCAAGCCATCAACCGTAAGCACACACTGTGTGCCAGGGATCATGACTAAGTAGAGTCTTGTTGTGCAGCAGGTGGGCAGCGGCAGAGCTCCACGGCAGGGAGAAGTGCGGCAGGGGAGGTCAAATGCTGGTCTACTTAAATAAACTTCTTAATTGAATATCAGTGAAGAGAAAACAGGAGGGATGGTGTTATTAAATGTTAAGCTTGAAGCACCATCTGAGGAAGGCAAACATCAGAGAGCCAAGTCCTGTAATTTTGTGCCAAATCATTAAATTTCACTGACAGTCTCAGTGTCATTGGTGCTGCAAAGCCCCATAAGCAATTTTCAGAGGGTGATGTGGCTGCAGAAGGGTGTCCAGTAAAAGTAAGTGACATAATGAGAGCTCATCGAGTTCTGATATGTGATACAGTCATCCTGAAGTATTTCAATCATGTTACCACATTCACTCTTCCTTAACAAAACTTTTCCGAAAGTGAAAGTTAGGAGTTCTGGTCTAGAAACTAATCACAGATGACAGTGACTGACATCTTAGAAGAATGGAGAAGTTAGCAGACTCCACCTCATTTTTGAAAATGAGGAACCTTGATTTATATTCTTCATGCTGGAGACTTGAATGCAAGGGGTTGGCTTTGCCCAAGTTAGGAAGCATTTTCATCTGGCCTTTATCCTGGACCCATCTCTAATCCTGCAAGTCGCATCTGGCCATTGCTTAGAGGCACTGTTCTTTTCAGTCCTGTGGGACATTAAGGTACTTCAGTCTAAAGAAGGTGAGAATCCTGGTTTTATTTAAACATGATATGGCTTGGGTATTTGTAAGTATATTTCAGTCCCTTGAACAAACAGACAATTTTATTGGATGCTGCTCTGGCTGTGTCATCTAACAGAAATGCAGACATGGAGGAAATAAAAAGCAGAGATGTACATCCACATCTCCAAGAACTAGACCAGCCATGTGACAGCAATATTAGCAAGAGCAATTAACTTCTGTAGCAAGAGTCAGCCTAACCAGTCTCAATCTGTTATTCCAAAAAATGTCACACCCATTTTACATCACTATAGAGCAGGAAGCAAAATAATTGCTCTGAATTGCTGACAAGTGCAGGCTCAAACACATTGACTCCACCAAATAAGATACATCAGAAAGAACAGCAGGATACTGCGTATTTTATCGGATTAAATATTCTACCAGGAAATCTGTATTAATTAATATAATAATATGTTAATGTGACTTGTTTAATTACCTATCTCATTAGTAGGCAGCTGAAAAAAACTTGCATGCAAGGACAAAATTTCAAGCTAAACAGAGTATCTTCTCACTCATCCTGACATCCAGCTAGTTTGCTGCTGTGCAGTCCATATACAGGCAAAATGAGAACAGTGATGACACTATACCTGAAAACTTAGATTCTTTAAACTTTTTCTTTGTTTAAGAGTAGTCTCTTGGAAAATACTGCAATGAAAATATATTAATGTAAAGCTGGAAAATGAAGATTTAAAAACTCTGTTGAATTAAGACAAACACAAGGAAATGGAAAGGAAAGAGGGTCATGGGAAATCCAGTGCTGATGGAAACGAAGCACATATAGCACAGAATTTTGCCATTTTTTTGCAGATTGTTCATACAACCAAAACATGCATCAGGAGCTGCACAATACCTCTTTGATCAGGATTCTCAGTGATTAAATCTTGGTCTTCAAGCTAACAGCTAAACCTGTAGGCGGCAGGGATAATGTCATTGTTTGATCTAATTAAGAGTTTGGGTGCCTCAACATAAGTAAAGCAGACAGGGGCCACAGAGGTGAATAAAAATTCATGCAATGCATTAACAAGAATAACAGCTTTTTCTCGTAACTGGATAGAAAGGAAATTATGTAGTTTCATCATATGATGACTGTATTATTGCAGCTTCAGAGTATCCCAGCAGGGCAGTGCTAACTCTGCTCTTTTAGGAGCAGTGAGGTTTAGGGTGTCTGCATGACTTCTGCACCAGCCCTTGCCTGTCTATTCACAGTGTCACTTTTCAATAAGCTGGTGAGATATATGGGTCCAGACACCACGTAAAATGTACAGGGAAATGTATATGTGTTCTGTCCTTCCATTCCACACTTTCTACATGGGGTGTCTTGCATTAAGGCAAAACCTAGCACAGATGGTATGCGTTGCTTGGTAGGCGTTGCCAGAATAACCCATTCTCTTACCCTTCAGAGGTCACACCGTAGGTGTTATTTTTTTTTTGCACTACAGCTATTATAGTTAAGTGTGATAATTATCAAAATGGCTCTGTATGCTTAAGAGAGTGAATGATAGAGAAAGGGAAAGTAGGGCAGTGAGTGATGTTCAGTTTCCAC